TAGAGCAGAAAATGTTCATACATTTTGTTTGAAAAAATATCAGAGTGAATTTTACAGGTAATGGGAGCGGTGACATCTAGGTTGGGAGAGAATCAAATGCTTTTATATCATTGATAGATAGCAATTTTAATTAGATTAGATTAGATTAATTTGCTTGCCATGCAACGAAGTAGACGAAACCAAATAAAAATGTGCCCCATAAAAATTACAATGTTGATTGAATATGAGTCTACAAATTTGATTTAGTTTGACTACATGCAGGATGCAGGACATCAGAAAAGGTGGATTTATCATCTTTGAAAAATAAAGTGTAATTTTTGACATAAACTTTGGAGGGTCTCTGTAAAACACTTTTTTCTTTTTTTCCATGAAACCCTCCCAAACTTGTCTCTGTCCTCATAATTAGGCACAGCATCAATTTATTTTTCACGAATGAATTATTATAATGATTACTATAATGTATAAAGCAAAGGCCACTTCATTTATACGGATATCTTACACATAATTTGCATTTTGTGGGCAAATCATTTGGGCAAATAATGATAAATAAAAATTTTTGTCCATTAAGGTCTGATATAAAGATATATGAAATAGATAATAAAGACAGAGACGTTTTTTTTAGATTTCCTGTTTACATTTCCCCTCTCTCTCTTTCTATTAGTTGCTTTTGGTAAAAAAATCTATAGAGTTTGGCCTTGTGCTGGCATAGTTATAGTGAGGTGTTCATACTGTATGGTTAGCCTATTTCTGATTGCAAATGTTATCGATACAAGATTTTACAAAATCATTGATAAGTGACTGATACGTTAAGTTTGCATAGCTTCATTATCAGCGGGTCATATACATACACAAACTGGGTGGTGAGATTGAATTAAATCATTGTCCAGGAAACTCTGTGAACGCCACTAAAGTACAGAAATGCAGATAAAAGACAAAGTTGCGTTCATCACCGGTGCGGCCCAGGGTATCGGGAAAGCTGTCACTGATGCTCTCCTGCAGAAAGGGGCAAATGTAAGTAGGTCCCAAAATGTAGATTCTCTCCCATCTGACCTTACCAAGTTGTATAAGAATCAACTGGGGGTGTTACGGCCAATTTGGATGTTTTAATATAGAATTTCAGTTGGTTTTAGAAATCAGCAGCTCACGCATCGGCTGGTAGTTCACGAATTGATCTATTGACCATAATCAAGGGGCAAAATGCTTCCATTTACCCTCCCCCGTATACCAAGTGGGTGCACCCTCCACACACACACACAGAGAGAGAGAGAGAGAGAGAGAGAGAGAGAGAGAGAGAGAGAGTTGTGTTTCTGTTCAGTCTGTGAGGTCAGTGCATTCTTCGGACTATTCAACATGAAGACACGGAGGAAGTTCCTGTCTTTGACTTTATTAATCTCTTTTCATCCATCAGGTTGCTGTGTGTGATGTTGACAGTGATACTGGAGAGAAAACAGTCACAGAGTTCGCGAAGCAATATGGTGACGACCGTGTAATATTCCTCCACTGTGATGTCACCAAAAAAGACAGCATTAAATGTAAGAATCTATACAATCCAGCCTGAGTTTAAGGCTGCGTTCACAACCAGTTAATCTGCGGACGAACTAGTCCGCAGATCATATATGACTCGCACTTGACAATGGATCCACGCCTTACACGAACGCCATCCCAGCAATTAAATCTCGACATGCTTTCAAGTGGGTCGCGCCATATTTGATCCGCGCACTAGTTAGCCTGCGTACAACTGGTTCTGAATGCACCTTCAGGGGTCACTGGGAACTCACTGTCATATAATCAGTATGCCTCAGCAGTTTCCAGACAGAGATCTTATTTTTCATATCCACTCAGAACAAGGTACTTTGTTGGCAAATTTTGATAAATATTAAGAAGGAACAATTCATAATTTGTTTTTTTTTTTAGTTTAGGAAAGAAGGTTATGATTTTAATGCCTACATCTTCATTTTCTAAACTATAAAATTCTTTTTAGCTGCCATGCAAAGAACAACAGACAAGTTTGGGCGTCTAGACATAATTGGGAACAATGCTGGTATAACGAATGAAAAACAGTATGATCTACTCGTTGACATCAACCTGGTAAGTGACACATGAGTCAGCATATTTTTAAATTAGAAAAATATGCTTTTTTACACAATTTGTCTATGTGACAATAATATCGGTGGGTGACAGTTGTTCTAAATGCCATTAGCCATTTCAACAGACAAATTATACCCTGTATATAATAGAATAATAGATAATATCCCAACTTTTGGTTAAGGTAAAATTTTGATTAGGAAGCTTGGAATGTTATTACATAAAAATGGATTTTATACCGAATTTGAAGCAATATCGCGGAATCGAAAGGCCTTTATTTTCGAGATAATATGGCGGCGAAGAAAAAAAGAAGCATGACACAGCTGATTCTGATTTTAGGGGGGCGTGGTCCGTGGCACGTGGCTGGGTTTGGATTTCCTTAGAAAAGACAAAGGAGGGAATGGTGGTGTAATAATCAATATGGCCTCAATGGCAGGTGAGCATGGTTCCTTAATCTTTGTGTGTGTGAAGTTGCAGTTGTGGTGTGTGTGTGTGTGCATAAGTGTTAGGGCGCTTAACTTATTCTGTCACAACCTATTGCTTCAGGTTTAATGGCTGTCCCAATGGTGCCTACCTACGCAGCCACCAAGGCGGGGGTAATTGGATTCACACGGAGTTGGGGAGTGAGTTCTATGTCTTTGATTTTGTTTTAATGTTTTAATGAATGTAAATAAGTGTAAAAGCTGTAATTTTTTATCTTTTATCGGCAATTTGACACAAACAGATCAACATCAATTCATTGATTTAACCTGAACCTAGGATCACTCGAACGGATTGATTCATAAACCCTCACACCACTAGCTAATGTCTAGGGATTTATCAGCATTTTTTCTTTAAATTTCACATATTTTCTTCAATACTCCACCTTCTTTGACACTTACAGGCGAGCATGGACTACGACCAGCACCAGGTTCGCGTGAACTGTATATGCCCAGGTTTCACTGATACTCAAATGACAAAAGAAGAAACCGTAGAGGAGAAAAGAGCCAAGGGCCTATTGCATCCAGAAGCTCTGGTTGCCATTATGTCAGAAAGACCTAAACTAAGGTAGGGTGCATACTTGTCTTATGTTGCTTTAGTATATCAGATTTACTTTTTTTTCAAAATTGGTTTTCCTAAATACTCAAGGGTGGTTTATGTTTTCGATTTTTTTATGTTTTAAAAAATTCAAGAAATGGCAAAAATGAAGAAGTTATCTCAACTGTTTAATGGTGTACATGTTGTATAAAAAAGCATATTGACCCACGACGACGTAATAAGAGAAAGTTTGGGTGTATTGCATGGCATTTGTGAAAGTAATTTTAATCAACTTGAGAGATTATCAATCATCAAAATAATTATCCTTTCTTTTCAGTACAAAGGCCGTAGCGGACGTTTTCATTCAGCTGGTGGAAGACGACACAAAAAATGGCGCCGTTATGGCCTTAGTTTCAGAACAGCCAGTGCAAGAAGTTAAATTTCCAGAAATTTTTACAAATGTAGAAAAGTAATCCACTGACGAAGATAATTTTTCCAGATTATGAAAAATGCACACACTTGTTTTTTCTGACTCTACCAGTTTATATGCTCCAAGACCTATATAAAAGGGCCACAGGCCTATTATGCATAACTATAAAATATTCTTCAAAATAATAATAATAATAATTATAATAATAATAATCAAATAAATAGGTAAATAAATGAAAATGAAAAAACAATAGGGGAACAGTGTTATTAATGAGTAGTTCTCTAGTTGTATGGAATGCTGTTTTATATTTAAACAATCACTGAATAAAAATTTATAAGTATTTCAAGACTTTGTGTTAGTTTTTTTTTTTTTTTTTTTTTTTTTTGAAAAAAGATTTATAAAATCACTTTTTTCTCAGAAGAAATTGGCAAGTGATTAAAAAATTTAGACTTTTTGTAACAAATGAGATATATTTTTCATAATTGAAAAATTAAGTAATTATAATGGTACAATAACTTGCATATCATTTGGTAACACACATACATTATGTATGTCCCGACTCTGTAGAATTTAATGGTTGTCTGATCCGCACGGTGGCAGCATCATTTCTCGCTAAATTTGGAGGTCGAGGTCAGTATAATACAGTTAGTTCAACTGATTACATGTACAAACAATATACGATAAAGTTTATTTCGTGTAGGTAAGAATGAAAGTACAAACATACATAGCTATTCACCGACAGAATAAATAAAATAATGATACAATGTTTACTACTACTATTTCTAATTACTTCTTGTGATTGAAACTACAACAGGACTACATGTAGCTGATACCCGTAAAATCAATCATTAACCCAAGATAAGAGAATTGTATACAAGATTTATAGAATCTCTTTATATTCTTTATTCTGTAATAACATAAATAATTGAAAAAAAATAAAGAAAAGAAAACGGGACTGAATGGGATTCAAACCCAATCCACCGAGTTTGGCAGCCAAAGATGTTATCCAAATCCTGCTATCCGTCCGATTGTTATTGACAGTATATGATACCCGTTACACAGACCTAAGCTTTACGGAAATTGCCGAAGACTAGAAAATGCCTTCAAAATATGCTTTTAACAGTTATAATAAAATTCAAATTAGGGCCACTAACTTTCCACTGCCCTAGAGTATTGCTAACACCACCTGTCAGTTTATCTTTTTTTTTTAGAAAAACCAATGGAAAAGTATGAAAAAGTGAGGAAACTTTTTATTTCAGCTACCTGACAGATAGCGTTTAGAAAAGGGTGAGTCAGACGGGACATTAAGTATCCAAATTAATGTAATTATAAAAATAAAGACTACTTATCATATGTTATGGAAATAATATTAATAGAATACAAGTGGAAATGGTGGTTTACATGCTTCAGTCTGTAAAATGCCCTCCTTATTAAAATAGCGTAAATTTTTTTCATCAGATAATTAGACTTATTGCTGTTGTAAACATCGGTCACGGCTGATCTTGACGTTGTCGATGGCTATGTCACTCCTGTAATCATAACCTCTTTGTCCTGCCAGGAAGAACTGAAAAAGAAAGATTTAATTTCAAATCTATATACTGTTATTACGTCCCCAAACCATTCTTAATATATTTAACGCTTAGTCTTACAAGAGTAATTTTGTCTGAAAATAGACAAGGGCAGTTTTACATAACCATAGTGATAAGGATCTGATATGACCTAAGGACAACTTGTGTAAATGGGACGGCCTGAAGAATCCGGTGCTATGCTTCGTAAGAAACGCTGTCACTGCCTTAAATTGCATTCTCCCATCCTTGCATCTTTCTGGATCTTTTTCAACTATTTTTAAAATCTATACACCCCGACCTGAAAAAAAAAACCCTACCTGAAGGGACGATCCTGAATAAGAAATAGTGACAGTAAGGCACATATCTATCCAGGAGTTGCCTTTTTCTCCTTTCAGTGTGTACATGGTCTTCAAAGAGGAGCCGAGCTTGGTACCTATCATCAAGTTCCCCATGGTGTTCCCGTACATGTGGTAGGACACGGTCACACAGTATTGCTGGGAACCGCCGGGGTGAGATATACGTGGAGAGAGAAGCCTGGCCACAGCACCCGCCCATTTCCCACTCGCTTCTACGTACATGTATTTACCTAGAGGTATAGTAGATGATTTAAAGAAAAGATGATTTTTTAAATTTATTAAAAGGTTACTGAATTATGTGGACAATAGGAATCTTGAAGTCATTTTCACCTAGTTTTCTACAAGGAGGGTAAGTTTAAGCCAGTGTGCTACGATCATGATCTATTAATACAAGAGAAGATATTTCTCTCCCCAACAACATTGCATGAGTTTATGCAATAAAATCTGCATGGCAAAGAAAGTAGGTTCCTTTCAAAATTTATACAAGAAGTATATTAAAACTACACATTTTTTAGTGTAGCTAAGACAAAAAGACTCACGTATCCAATAATTATCAGGACAAACAGAATTTATGACAAAACCATTACTCAAAGACCATACCACTGCCGCCATATCCAGAACTGGGTCCGGTATTTGCTGAGCTCGTGGCCCCGGATTTCAGAGTCCAGTCCATATCGTCCGAGCTGTCTTGGGTCCAGCCGCAGAGGCTGCCGCTATCGAAGTTACAGAAAGACAGGTAGGTTCCTACTGGGAGAATATGAAATTATGAATGTGATAGTGGCAAACATCTAGAAAAATATTTGCGTCTTGCTTACATGGGCATTGGGCATACGATTTACTTTTTCGCTGGCTTATCAAAAGAGTATCAAAAAATCATTAATAAAAAAATCAAATTGCACGTTTACCAGGTTGTTGGGTCACAGGTTTTTGGGTCACTGGCTTGCTGGTGGCCGCTGTGTTGGTGCTATCTTAATAAAAGCACACTTGATTTTAAAAAAAATTAATTTGGTTGCAAAGCATTGTTTTCTTTTCCATTGCCATATGATAACATGGTTAATCTGAATCATCTTCAGTCGAAATTAATTGATTTTTGACTGTTAAATTTGCACATGAAAAGTTTTTGAAAAGGGTGAAGCTATTGAGAAAAACATTACTGAGATACTGCCTATCGTCCTGTTCTTCTGCGGATTTTCAAAAATAATATTTATGAAATATACCAATAAATCGGAGTGCAATTCTCACCGCTTTCGCCGCAATTATACAATTGCCTTATCTCACTAATATCAGATGTGCTGAGAGCGACGCGTTGCCCAATGGTCGCACCGTCACGTTTAGGGGTGATGGTGGGCTTGGTCCTGTCTGCAGCAAAGCCATACCTCCCGTAGTGCATTATAGAACCGTAGTCGTAGTTGGTAAGGTGTTGAATATAGCCGAGTTCGTACTTGTCGAAGTTAGAGCTTTTCCCTGTGAAAATGTAGGTAAAAGGGACATTTAGAATGGTAGCTCAACAGTGCGTCATCAGAAGAAAAAACATGCATAAACACAACCCCACACAAGCACACGCTTGTTAGCGCACAACCAAATGGCATACATTCTGAATATTGAAACAAGAGCGAAAAAAACTCTTCGGCCTTTATTCTATTTAAAAAATCATAAAATATAAGAAAGTGCTGTCTGTTGTTCTAACAGTACTTGGTTTTTAACAACCGTTCACAATATGCCGTATCTGAATTGCTACCGCTATGGACCACCTACCAAACCTAATGTTATCCCAATGAATGGTGACGTAGTCGTCTCTGTCAGCGCGGCTCTGCTCGTGGTAGAAGCCAAGTGCGTGTAGCAGCTCGTGCATGATGATACCCTTGTCCATACATCCACTATGCAGGGACAGAGCCTGAGAACCACCTCTGCTATTTCTTCCAACTCCAGAGTAGCAGCTATAATGTTATCAGTAATGTTGTAAACACTGTCCAGTTGTATACTGGGCATAAATACGTTGCAAATTAAGCGTGACTCTGAACATGAATGAGACCAGCATCTTTCAAAAATCATTATTTACGGAACAAATACAACACTTCGCGCTCGATGATGTGAACTCAGTTAACAGAAAAATGTTGATTTGCTACTTTACTAGAAAGGGAAAAGGAGAGTCAACAAGAGGTGGTGATAGCGTTATCAGCTCCCTACTCAATCCAAGAATTTCAGCATTTTTTTAAGTTTGAAAAAAGTATCCCTTCATTGCTGTTCAAGTATAGAAATGACCCAACCTACCCACTGTCAGGTATTATTGAAATATATTCTAACTCTGAAGATCGGCTGACAAAACGAATGCAATTGATCGAATCAACTTGTGTCTTCTCTTCTATTTCTCTCATAGCACTGGTGATGAGGGACTTTTCCGAGGAGGCTGGAAGGCAACGAATAAAAAGGAAACCTGTCAAAGTGGATTGATTGACGTCTACTTTTAGTGCAAGCGCTGAATTTTTTTTGCTTAAAGTAAAAAATGTATTCATTGCAATTGTGGAAACTTTACGGGTCAAGATCTTGTAAAAGCGGGCTACCTAAAGCCTCGGTCACAACAGGCCGTACGGGCTCTTACGGGTTGTTTGCGTCCAAATTTTGCACAAAATCTCACGTGCAACGCAAGTCCTAAGAAATTTCGAGTTCGCATACGGAGGATATTGGTCATGTCCAAAAGATTCTACGAATAATCTGCGAACAGCGAGGCGGCAAGCGTAAGTTGCTCCCCTCGACAGGAGTTAGGAAGTAAGACGTGGTTAGTCCAAGACGCACGTCGCAAACAATGAGGAGCACGTGCCCTTTGCGTGTTGAGTACGGCGCACGCCCTCACAACTAACGAACAAAGTCGAAAGCACACAGCTGGAAATACGTCGCACGTGCGCCATCCCTCAATTCGGCTTCTAATATGGCTCCAAAAAGCAAGAAAAAGGAGCTTAGAGAGCAGAAAAGAAGGGAGAAAGAAGATGAAAGAAGGGGAGAACAGGAGGCAAAACTGACATTCGACGTCAGTACGTCATCACAAGTGTGGTGAATATTGAAACAAGAGCGAAAAAACAAGTGTGTGAGGCAAGTGTGAAGCAAAGGTGATGCAAAACAGAGCTACTTTCTCTGTGGGTTGCTTTCTCTTCATAAGTGGTGAGTGCACGCTACGTGCGCAGGTAGCAAAACAAACTCATGAAATGAGTAGGCCTACAATTTTCACGGCCATCGCACCTTGCAACTAGCGTCCAGGGCTGCTTGAAAGGACATCTCACGTGGCCCCTGCGAAAAGCAAGGCAGACTTGCACATTTCCATTGAAACATTTCCTCTACCTCTACGAACTCCCCAGCCTCCACTGTATCCAAATTTCGTAGGTAAGGGGACGTACGGTCCTAAAATTCGTGCATCCAGTTGTGACAGAGGCTTAACTTTCTTATCGGTGTTGTAGTTTATGACATAAATAATTAAGTTTGTTTTAAAGACGGATTAGAACATAAGGGATATTATATTACATGTAAATTACATATAATAATGAGCCTTATGGTAAGAAAATTAAAATATACTAAAAATGCAACTTACTGTACCAGCTGCTGATGACGAAGGGCACTTGACCGTTGGGCCATCTCGTGCTGGTAGATGTAAGTGCATTACGATGTTGAATTTTGTAAATCGGATCCTAAAATAGAAATTAAAATGATATTCGATCAATTCCAATTAGTCATGGCATATTTAGGACAATTGTGGTTTAACATTTTGTGTTAATCATATGAAACAGTAAAAGTCCAGATAGTATATGCTTAAAAGAAAAATCAGTTTGCTCGTGGCGATGTTTTTACCAAGACATTGTTACAATTGTGTTATTTGTTTGTTGTCTGACGGTTTGAAGAAACCAACATGACCTACCGTAAAAATGTCAGCTTCTATATCCATATCGCCCTCAAATTTCCCTTAAATAGTGCACGCATGTCATAATTTGAAAAAAAAAAATGTGAAAAGAAATAAAAACATAATAATGCAGGGAAATAGAACAGCATGTGGAGATTGACAAACATACAATTCTGGGTGTTAAGAAAATCGGCTGAAATTGATCTTCCCACAGAGCTCTGTAATGCCAGTGATATTTATCCTTTTTATTGTTAATGCTTCCATTTTCCAGCAGTGAAATCAGTGATCATCAGCTAAAAATGTATACGTCAACAAATATTGCTATTACATGCTTGCAAAAATTAAGTCGAAATAATTGTGAAGGCGAAACTCCTATCTTTATGCCTTTAATATGCTAAAAACCTTTCGTTAGGACACTACTCACCACCAGCCTCCTCTGGGGAAATCTCATACTCAGGGCGGTCGTCTGCAAATGCTTCTGAAACAGAGAGCATCTTAAAGTTAAGGATGGAGTTATTCTTGTTTTTAATCAAGTAAAATTACAACTTTGGATCTATCGAAAAAGTTTTTTTTCTAAATATTTAAAGTTGACAAAGCTCGATAATGTGAACTTATTGAACAGAAAAATGTTGATTTGCTACTTTACCAGAAAGGAAAAAGGAGATTCAACAAGAAGATAAAAAGGAAAAAGACAAAGCCAAGAATAAGGATGTGGGTTTTCACCTGCTACCTGGAGAATGGGGACGGCCTGCAAGAAATAATTGAAAAGAGGTTATGTAATTGGCATAACGGCCTACTATTGGCACGTTATTTTGCGCCTTATGCATAATGCAAAATGTCATCTTTGCCTAATGCTCTCATGCAAAATACTGAATCTTGACTCACCTTACAGATTCCTTTTCAATGCGGATCGATCCAATTAAAATCCATCGCCACCTTAAACGATACTATTTGCCTATATCTGTATCTTAAAGTTCAGTGCTCATTTAGGAAATTATGGAGGTTTTGAACGCGTAATGATAAAACTGAATTTCTCAATCCCAAAACTCTCTTTATTGTGAAAAAAAAAACGCTCTTTCATGTATGTTATAAAAATTGGACACAAATGTAGGCCAAAATCTATCTGTGAATATAAATGTAGAAAGTGCACAAAAGAAAATACCTTACAGCGAAACTTTTCATTGAAAACATCAACTTACAACAGCATGCGACGCCATGCTAAACACCAGCACCATTAAGAAAGCTTTCATCTTGCTTGTCGCCTGAACTGACCACCAACTCCACATAATAAACGACTGGCTGAGAAGGTCCTGACAAATCAACATTATCTTAGTTATAGTTTGTTCAAATGGGTTATTGGGCATAACACACACACACACACACACACACACACACACACAGAGAGAGAGATGAATAAATGAATAAATAAATGAATGGAATAAAACGGTTCGAATGTTTTACGCCGTCAGTTGGTCACAACAGGACATTTTCATACATGCATGTAGCAACAAATTCATCCTAGATCAGGGTGAAGTGAGATTTTTGGTCCTATGTTAAATACGACCCTGGGACTTGTCCCGTTTGTAATAGTGATATAATGGCCCAGAGTTTCAGAAGTCCCTGGAAACTCGTCTCTCTGGAAATGGCACGGTGATAGAAGAGGAGTGAGTTTTAAAGGACCTCTGAAACTCAGGGTGATCAATAAAGGCACCTGCATTTATAAAGAAGGTAGGTTTTATATCTTTATTTGAAAAGAAGCTTTGTACATCATTGCGTCATTGAAGCTATTCAACAGGGTGATAGGATTGATCCATGGGGAATCATTTGACATCCACATTTCCATTCCATCCAAGTCAACACATTTAAATTTCATGACCAGTATTAACCGTACACATGGAACAGTTTGTGACAAGAAAACTGGAGAATTTCGGCGAATAAAAGGTCACGTTTGGGGGGAAAAAAGAGAAAATGGAAGTGGGTTTTTTATATCATCTAAAGAGATGAGTCTGGTATCTACCTTTTCCAACAGCCTATTCTCAATGCGCATACATCTGAAAACTTGGGAATCAATGAGGCACGTTCATTCATGGTTCAATTAATTATTTAAGTATGATAAATATTTTAAATTATTTCATATACAGTGTCTCTCAGAGATCTGCGGGTAACTGTGTCTCAAGGCATACTTGCAGATACTTCCGTCTGTATTGATAGGAAGGCAGCACACAGAAGGAAGAAAGGATATATTGCTTCAAGTTGTTTGCATACATTTACTGACCATTGATCAGGTAGACCAACCCAGCTAGTTGTGGTTCTGTTCGCAGTTAGCTAGTGTCATCCTGCGAAAGCATTTCCGTGTTAAGTATGAAGAATCTGATCAGCACGAGGACAGACGAAGATCTCTAAATCTGTTTCTCCTCGGACAACGCATTAAGTGCTTGGGAGAAAAAGAAACCAACCAAGAGCTTTTCGTCCAGATGAAAATAAACGAAACAGTCGCATCATCTACTGAAGCGGACAAGGGGTACGGGTAACGGATGACATCAGCATAAACATAATTTTACAAGTGTGTATTGATACAAAAAGCAATTTTTCACTGGATAATCTCCGTTGCAGTCCATCTCAGTGAGTCAACTTAAGCTTATTCATTTAATATCTGCTGTGCTTTTATTTGCCCAACATTTTAGTTCATTCATCCAAGAACTTTGGAATAAGCTAGAGAGAATGCACTTTTCAGATAATCAGCAAGTTGTGGAAAGTTCGTGGATAAGGAACATGTTTGCAGTTTTTTTCTTTATATGCGTAGTGGTAGTGTTGAATTTCATATTGACTGATTACCTGACAGAAAGGAAATCTAGGATCGAGGCCCTTATGTCTTTGCCAAACAGTACATTGACAGCAGGAAACAGGAGCAGTTTATTTCTGAGGATGGAATTAGAGAAAATGAAGCGTGAAACAAGGCAATCCTGGCATGATCAGAACAGAACAAATGCTAGAAATACAACAGAAAATATAGGCAGCTTCAAGCGAAAGATCAACTGAAACATCTGTCAATTTTAGCCCAACACAGTGCCGACTTGGTTGACTTCAAGATGGACTATATCGATCCCCACATAAAAGAGAGTCGTGTTAGTACTTGGAATTACATTTTGTGTTTTCCTGGCATTTATAAATATTTTAAACACAATTGTAATATTTTATGCTATTATTCGTTTTTAAGCAGTATAGACAGCAGAGTTATCCATATTTCTGCATATGAAAAAGGTTTTGCCATCTCTTTTGGCGTATTGAAGACAATGTTTGTACATGTACATTTCGTATATAAAAAAAGGGATTATCAGAGTAAATTTTAGAGGTAGTGGGAGTGGTGACATTAAGGTTGGGGGAGAATCAAGATGCTTCTGTAACAATAATGGATAATAATTTTTATTAGATTAATTTGCTTCCCATGCAACAAAGTTGAAGCATAACCAAAAAGACATGTGCACCATGAAAAATTAATATGTTGATTAAATATGAGCTAACAGATTTTGTTTAGTTTGACTAAACGATGCAGGACATCAGAAGGGGTGGATAAATCATCTTTGCACCTTGTCCCAATTTCCCTGCAACCCATTAATATCCGTGGGCCTG